ACTTGTCAACATTTAACAGCAGCAACTTCCTCTCTATCTGTATCTTGCCGGCGCTTTCTGATTTTGTTTATTGCTAGTATATCATTCCCCGATTTATTACTGTTAAAGTATAAGGTCGAAACTGAGCGTAAGCGCATTGTTCATATGCATTGTGTATGTGTTGAACCAATATGGCTCAGATCTTTCCAGGCAACAGTCGTTTCTGCAATTTACTTCACATGTACCACATCCGCAGTAAGGATTTTCAGGGAAAACGCTGCGGTTGCTGTATATATGTAATAGAAAGAGCACCGAAACACGAGGCTATCTGATTTGTACGAGGGGGCGTAGCCCCCGAGTATTAATCAGATTGCCGAGTGTTTTGGTGTTCTTTCTCTTTTGTATCATAGTCAAACATAAAAGCACGTTCCCTGTTGTCACAATATGAAACCCCGGCAAAAATGAACCAATGAACGAACATCTGAATATGACATTTCTGTCAATTTCCCTTTCTCTGCCGTCACAATATGTAAACCCCAGCAAAAACGAGCCAATCAATGGGCATGCTCTGGAGTGCGGGTAGCTAATACCCGCACTCCATGCAGTTAACGCACTGTGCATGTATATGTATACGATTTAACCCTGATACATTTTCAACAGAAAGGTCTTCAAACTATGATACAATGTATATATATTGACCGTATAATCAGTTTGCAATTGCCAGGTTAATAAAAATCAAACAATATATTCCATTTTCATAATATCAAACAAAATGGAAGTAACAATGAATCAATGTCAGATAACTGATATTGATAAACTATCTGGTATGCAAAATCAAAAGCGTTGACTCTTTCAATGACCAGTTAACCTGTCCACGTGATTAAATATTAAAGACAATACCTGTAAATGTGTTGAAACTAACTGTATAAATTTTAAGTATAAATGTCGGCCTCGACATGTGGTTTTGAAAAATTCCAGAGCATTTTTCTAATGAGATTTGTTCCTAAGTCATTTTTACATGTATTGCATGTGTATTAAGTGAATAAGAAAGAAAGAAAAATAAAAGTTAGAAAATGACTTAATATGATAAGGTACATCACTAGAAAGTAACAAGATTTTTGTTAAACATAATGCTACTTGTACTATATTCCATTGTATGTAAATGTATTGATATGTATATGTTGTTTTGGGCTAGAGGCCTTGAATCAATAAACTCATTGTCATTGAATAATAAAAATGATAAAATTTTGAAAACCTAAATCTTGAAAAAAGAGCACTGTAAGATGACATTATATGTGCCCGATGGCGTTTTGTTTTTTGTTTAAGTTTTGGAAGTAAGGTCACAGCAATTTTAATGAGCGACATCAAAATAGGCGGGGATTATAGACATAAATATTAAAAAATAAAATAAATATTAATGACTTTACAAGTCGTTTTAAAAGAAATACTGTCAGTGTGTTTCGGTATATTTAGCCATCTTTATACACATTTTTATGACTATGATAAAAAAATTCATCACCAAGAAGCTGGGCATCATTGTCTATTTTATTATTTACGACGTATTGTAGAGAAATTCACTTTTTCCACAAAGTTTTTTTTTCGTGTGGTTCAATGCATCACTTCGAATTAAGGTGACTTTGGCCTTCTCTTGAAGGGGTGAGCCACATTTCACCAAGATTACCGACTGTTCATGCAAACGTTCAAATTTGCTGTGTTGGACGGTCATTCAGATTGCCTTTTATTTTGTTAAAATCATTTGATATTACCTGTAAATTTGCTCAATTGATATATAATGTTTATCTAAAGAATTCTATAGAACATATAAAATAAACTAACTATAGAGCTGCACAAACTTTATTTATTCAATACAAATTGTATATGTATATTTGACAGTAATAATTACATTGTCAGTATGAATTAAACATACAGCAAAAGTTACAACATATATAACAATGAATATACATGTAATTAATGAATTAATATAATTTAAACTCAATAAGGATTATATGAGATTTTTTTTCTTTACAATATTTCAGAAGTGTCATATAATAAACACAATTGGTTAATAAGTTCTCAGTGTTGTTCAGGGTCAGTCATTGAATCCAATACTTTTAGTTTTTAGGATTGGTTACCGCTTATTAATTGGTGCTAGGCGGCGAGGGATATGTTTCATCTCTAATTATTTGTCATAAACAGACATAAAAAAGACTCAAATTTTCATATGTATTGTTGTCATTGCTTTCGCTGGGTCTCCATTTTGCAGATATCTGGTAAGTCAAATGCTGTGTGACTGTTGTTTAAGTTGTCCTTTACTCAACCTCCGTATTGTTTTATTTAAATGGTTCAATCCAAAATATAATTTTTTTTGTGTTACAGATTGAATATCACTTAAGCCGGTGCCGGTTACTTCTTTCATTATCTCTCATGAACAGACATTGTAAAACTGAGTCTGCAATTCTCAGCTTTTTACTTTTACTGTCATTGCTCTCGATGAACCTATATGTTTCCAAATTGTTTATTATTATTATTATCATTATTATTTTTATCATCATCATTATTATTATTATTTACAAAGCGTGAAACAAATATGGAAAGATATTGTGCTGATTGTAAATCTCATGAACATACTGTATCCTTTAAAATTAAACTATAACCAAAAATTGTTTCTTTATCTTTAAATATTTTTTCTCTTTTCTGCACAATGCAAAGACTTCAAATGAAGAAAAAGTCTTTACAACGATTATAAAAACATATATACACACATGGGAAATCCGTGCAACCCCACCCCCCCCAAAAAAAAACAACAAAAAAACAAAACAAAACAAAACAAAAACAACAACAACAAAAACAACAAAATACAATACTTCATCCTTAAGGATTGATGCTAACAATAACTAGATGCGTTAATCTAATCTATGATATTTATTTATTATTCTTAGTACAATCAAATTAACAATTACAAATATATAGTTCTCCATGCTGTTGGTTTAAAATTTTTATTCGATATATTTACATTATATGAACAATATTTACACAATTCATTTTGGGATTAGGCAGAAAGCTATGAAAGCTTATGTGTGTCATGTCCCAGTTAAAACAATTAACATATATACAGTTCATGGCTTAAACATGCGCAAAGTTCATTTAGTTGAAAATATGTCAAAACCATTCTCAAAAAAGAGGTATTTTGCAATAAACAGATAGTAGATCAAATGGTCAAAAAGAAAATATTAATGAAGTTAAGTTAACCTAGGAATGTGAATTAGAAAAGACAACTGTGTTTAAACGGAGACAAAATATTGTAAAAACTTAAGTGATAGTTAAGTACAATTATGAAATTACGCAAAATAACTACCAGCTAATAATGACAAGTAAAATGGATATTTGAGAAAGAAAAGAAGATATGGATGAACAATAATAAGGAAGTAGGAGGAAACAAAGATGCATTATCTAGTAACTATGAAGTACATTTAGATGTAACAAATTTAAATAAGACTAAGGGTACGCGCTAAAAGCTTCAAGCAGTTACTACGTTGGTAATATAAACGTGTGCTTATTGGTCACTGATAGGCCCATTATGGCCCAGAAATGCGTTTCAATTTATTTCTCAATATATTTTATATTTGATGTACTGTTATAGTTTACAAAAAGCTATTCATTTGCCATTTATTACAGTCATAATTTGCCTCTGTTGCTTTCTGGTTTATATTGAGATTTAGTAAAAAAGTTAAAAACTACATTTTTTACATTTTGCTACTTTTATTACAAATAATATTATATTCAACACTACTTTTTCAGTCAATAAGCCTCTTACAAAATCTAAAACCATTATTTGAACATTATATTCAATATAAAAACTCATGTTTACCATTGCTTTCTGAAGAAGGAAAATAAGTTTCTTTCTGAAGCATAATGTGCATTTGAAAACATAACAGATTGACCAACGAGCCTTATAAATTTCAATTTTACCGTTTGGAGAATACTTATACGGTTCAGTTTCTTTTCGAATTTTATGTTATTGATCATTAACTACCACTTTGATAGCCAAATGAAATGAGAATATCAGTAAAATAAATAAATGTCAGCCATTTTAAGCCAATCTGTTTAGAAGAAAATTTGCAGCATTTACGGTCGCAGCGCGTCTTCGTCGAAATCGAAATCGTGCAAAAAATTAAAATGTAGCTCATTACTCAAACAATATTTAAGATATGAAACTTAGAATACTTGCTTATCATTAGAATGTTCAGTTATTAGACAAGGTGCATTAGCTGAAAACAATACATTTAGAGGTTATTCCTGTTTGAAAGTTATAATAACGAAAAATAAGTTACTGATACCGGCCTCTTTTTATTGACGAGCGTAAACACCGCATGCAGTGCTCTTGTTATATTAAAAACTTATTGGAAAACATATGTACGTGGTAAAAAGGGCACATTCCTTAATTGATAATTCTTCCGATAAGTACAAAACAATATTCACGTACTGTATAGAAACAAATGTGCTATTTAAGAGAAGTAGGGGGCCATGTAACTGTAAACAGAACAAAGAGAACAATAGAGTTCATTCCGTAACAAAAGAATAAAAGGCCATGGCCCTCTATTAAATAAAAGAAAATAACAAAAGAAATGGTTCATTTAAGTGGCACTTCTGTGCAACCATGTAGTGATAGTACAAGCCTTACGCTATATTTCACTTTTATTTTAAAAAGATGAAAATAACCGATGCAATATATTGCCTCTGGTAAACAAATATATCATAATAATTTATGCTACACAAAACATTGCTATCAACGAGATACATGTTTACTCCAGTGTCATGAAAAATCTGATACAGATATACGACGTGATTTTTATCATATTCATCATTTGAATCACACAAAGTCGACAATGGAAATTGCAGATTTCCTGACGATAATACATTACTGCTAATGACTTTGTGAATTACGAGTCATAATTGATTTTACCAATATATTAAAACGAACAACATTTAGGATTGTCACAACAAAACTAAACCCCTAGGAATCTAATTTATCATTGATGACGATGTCTGTATTCTGGTTCTATACTTATAGATGTAATATTATGCATACGTCAGGTTTTGTTGATTAAGGTATTTCTGATAAACTTATTTAATTTCAAGTTTTTTACTGACTGTCGTTAATTTGGTGGACTGCGCAGAGCTTTCAACATTGCCATTTGTGTTTGTATAAACCTTAGAACGAAGCATGTCTAATGTGCGTTTGTTTACGAAGGAAATCATTATGAACACACCTTGTCCGGCATTAAAGACTATGTAGAAATATGCAAACAGGAAAACATTAGTGAACTGATATAAGAATCCAAATAGCCATGTGATACCGGTCAAAGTTGACAATTTTGCGAATATCAGTAAATTATGGCGTTCATGACTGCTGTTATGTGCCATGTCAGGAATTCGAGACACACTCCATACAACATAACTAAACATACCCAGGTTAGCCGTGATAACAAGCCCAAGAGGAATAGCAACAAAGTAAAGTATCATATTGGGCCCTTGAATGTAACAGTTTGAACCACCATAACCAAAACCTTCAGAATCCTTGTCTGTTGTGATCGTAACTACTATATAAGAAATTACCAAAATAGCTGACAGAGATTCCGTAAAGATTATATGGTAACAAAACTTTTTCATTGTGTCTTGAGAAACAGATTTTTCTTTTATCTTAACAAAAGCATTCATCATGTGAAAAGTAGAAATGAACATCCAAAAGAAACTGGACAACAGATTAAAATGTAGAAGAATTCCAACTGTTGAACAAAGCCAAGGAAGTTTAATGCGTGTTACAGATATTGTTAATGCCAAAGTATGGGCGAAGAAAAGATGAAAAATAAGAGCCATGTTATTCAATCCTGGCACTGTCCTTAATCTTGGAAGTACACAATAGATAATAAAGGTAAATACAAGAGATATGATAGAAAATACGAGACAAACTATGGTCAATATAACAAGCTCGTCAAAATGGCTACTGACAACAGCATCTACTGATGGTAATTGTGAAAAGTACTCATCGCTACATACATACAAACTTCCATTTTGACCTGAAGACAAAATATTTGAAAATGTTATATCAGGTGTTGGGTTCCCTGTTGATGCTTCATATTCAAGAAAACTTACTTTCTTGTTTGATAAATCTATTTCAAATTCGTCATTACTAAGTTTGATGCGAGGACAGAATGGCTTGGGTTGAACTAACAAATCTGGTTCACATTTTTGTTCCGGTGACAAAGGTGTAAATGGAAAAGTCAAAAAGCCAAATCCATTTCTATCAACTTGCCCGTTAATGATAATTTCATTGTGGAAAGAGTCGAGATTAAGTTGATTTAATTTTGTTTCTATATCCTCGTTAAGGATGTAGTATCTAGAATCTTGAGGCATTTCAGTATCATCTGTGAAATATTGAACGGTATATTGTGCGTAATAATTACTTGTGGTGAAAAACATAGCCATTTCTTCTACAGAAGCAGAACTATTTTTTAGGCCTTTAAGATTGAAGTCAACAATTACTGCTATGTACGAAACAAAGGGCAATAAACTGGATACGCCACTTCGATGCATTGACAAAATCGTATCTTCCAGACTTGAGTTTAACTTCACGTAAGTATTAAATGAACAAATGTCTGGGGTACCCATAGTTGTTAGCATAATACGTAACTTTGATTTTATATCCTCGTACATAGTCAACCCCATTGATAACAGGTTATTCGTCATGCTTTCCTTTGCCGTACGTGTAGGTAAAAGTTTATAACGCAGTCCAAATATAACACCACGAAGAGAATAATCTATTTCCTTGTAAACTGGTGAACATGTGCCCTTTAACAAACGCATTCCTGTCGGGCACGATAGGGGTCTACATTTCTTCTGAAATTATGAAGTGACGAAATCTTAGTTCAACATCAGATATTAATAATAAAAACATAGT